CAGGGTGTGGGTATTATCTTCATCCATACTCACACCCACACCCATGTTCCACTGTTGCTATGTGCAGTCCTTCTCAATTAAATGCATACTTGAAGAGAGTTAAAGAAAACGAAAAAGAAGGAGGCAAAGCACATAGAAGTAGAACAACAAAACGTTATCATGCTGCAAGAGTAAGAATCGAGTAATTTCATAAAAACAAAAAACAAGCGAACAGTGTGCAACGCAAAAAAATTCCAATCAGTAGCAAACGTATCGGTTGCAATTATTTGGCTGTGGTGAGTTAATTACTAGGGAGATTCGAAAATAGGAAGAAACCATTTTGAATCCTATATACTTCATGCTGAGACACTGCAAATATTAGGAACGATTAATACAGATATGACATAAACAATCATAGTCAACTTTACGTAAGGTGATCGATACGCCAATATATGTCAGTCATCGGTCATGCTAATTCGTTATCGATGCCATAAAGACTGCTCGGAAACTGCTGGTTAACTTCAATTCTTCAGCTTGATTTAGGTGTATATCTTACCTCATGAATATTTTTAGTCCCTTAGAAAAATGATTGATCTTAGTCGAAACGGCGCCTCCTAATTATTATTAGCACGCTCAAGTCATCTGTAACAGCTATATCGACCGTTTTCGCTTACTTTTTGAGTTTAACTATTTATTGAAGATGACACCATAAATATAGTATTGGTTAGAAGACTTAGACGATTGAAAGAAATGTAACACCCTGTGACAAAAGTATATTGTTACATAATAAAATCGACTTTTTTTTGAGTAACAATCGATCTCTTCAAGACAGAAAATATTAATTTAATAGCAAAATTTATGGAAAATGTTGGAAAGCACCAGCAAACCATTCGAACGCCGGTTAATTGTCAGTTTCGATGAAAAATTAGCAACATTTGTATTTTGTGCCTGTCTCATATTTGTTTGAACTTTTTATTAGTCTCAATCCTATAGTATTGTTTATATCCAACATGATTCATCTGTCTCTTTTGTTCTACTACTATATTCATCAAGATCGGTTGTTAAAGAGACGAGAAACCAAAATCGATATAAGGTAATTGCGAATTTAATGAGACTTCATAAAAATAAAAGGCGGACACAACGATAAACTTTGTGCGTGGGTAAGAGTAAAAGTGGAAGTGCTTTCGGTCACAAATCATTCTGCACAGATGAAGGTCAGAACTTGGTAGTCAGAGAGTAATGTCTGTCAATAAAGAGAAAAAGCTACCGATCATCATAGTTGAATCCGTAATAATGAGCACAAAGAGCTTCTCTTCACTGACTAATTTCAAAGAGTTAGAAGGAACAATCTTCATTATTCACAGTAATGTGAAACATTAAGGGTCAATTACTTCTAGGCACAGAGAAATGCGTCAAACTGTTGATGAAAAAGCTCCGCACTAATCGGAAATTAGTAAAAATCAGACCAAAAAACTTTGGGACATATGGTCGTATTTCGAAGTCACTGTGTGAAATTTTGATTCTTCCACTGATATCTCATGACATTGATGAAAACCTTAGGGCCACGGTGCCGCTCATAGAATTGATCTCGAATAACTTCAAGCAATAGAACAATTTCCAAGAGTAACAGCTGATAGCTTCAAGTAGCATAATAACCATTAAGAGTCAGAAAGAAAAAAAATCTAGCTTTCACAACACCGGAGGTAGTAATAGCAAATGAGCCCCAATCATTCAACCATTTAGAAGAATGCCAATGAACAGTTTTAAGCAATATAGGATATATGAGAATGACAGAAACATATTTATACTCACATAGGGATATACAATACAGTCCGATAAAAATCCTTAACTGGCCGAACAATGTATCTAGATAAGGGTGAACAGCGGTAGAAACTGCGTAACTGTGTCGCACGGAAATAAACATGCTACATGCTATTCATCTACTCAACAAAGTGCACGAGAAGAGTATTGTGTTCCATTGAAACGATTGGGATTTACATCAATATTCTTTGATCCAGAACCGGATACGTAAGAAGAGAAAAAGACAGACAAAGAAGAATCATCAAAATATTCTTGTGACGTGTAACAGCTTAAGACATCCAATGAGCGTGCTTTGCCGAGGGTGTGGTTGTGTGTCGATGTGGCTGTGCGACAGAAGAGTGAGGGTAGATGTTACTTTTCTCCTTACTAACACCTATCCCAATCAAGGGGGAAATGGCGGATTTTTAGGATTGCCAATCCTTGAAAATCCATAAAAAATCCGTAAAATCCCAGAAATCCGGAAAAAATCCCTGAAATACAATTAAAATACGAAAATCCGGAAAAAATCCCAAAAATCCGGAAAAAATCCATGAAATACATTATTTAAGTCAGTCGTATATGACGAACATGTTGTTTGTTTGATATTGACGAAGTCATATTTTTGTATATTTCACTTAAAAAAATTGTTTTTGTTAGATAAAATGTGTCTAAAACATAACAATCTTATAAGATATTCTGTAAGCTAGAATGTAAAACGCCTTGTGACAGTGTGTATAAAGACAAAAGAGCAAGGGGAAAAAGCGGATTTGGGATTTTATAGATTCTAAAATTCAAAAAAGAGTTTTTTTTTGATTTTACGGGATTTTTGGATATTTTTTTAGATTCCTGAGATTTTCTTTTCGAACTTTTAAACTTCTCCTTTCTTGTCTATCATTCGAATGCCGTATTTCCTATTGTAAAACAACGTTCTATAACCACCAGATACATTATTTGGAATAATTTGGTTGCCGTCTCTCATTCATCACAGTGGCATTCTTCAAGGATTTTGACTAGGCATCTCGTCAAAGTGCGTGTAAAAAGGTGTCGCAAAACGTTCAACGTGTGCTACTTTTTAGGGCTATTCTATAGGGGTACCCATAGTTCCTCATGTCCTATCCTATGGGTCACTCATAGGTCCTCATGGACTATCTTATGGGGTACCCATAAGCCTCCAAGCGCTGTCCTATGGGGTGCCCATGAGTCCCCTTGCCCTATCCAACAGGACACCCATAGGTCCTCATGCCCTATTTTATGGGTACCCATAAGTCCTCATGGCTTATCTTATGGAATACCCATAAGTACTTATGGCCTATCCTATGCAGTTATCATAAATCATCATCGCCTGTCGTACGAAGGTACTCATAGGTCCTCAAGCGCTTTCCATGAGCAGCGCCCATAAGCGTCCAACGGCTATCGAGGTTTGGTATCGTTAACTTTTCAAGGACTGTCTTGCGGTAGTTCTGGTTACTCTTCAAAGGTTATCCCATGGAAGAGTGCCGGGTACTGCTGACTGCTCAGGAGATATCTAGCGTTAGTCGTCACAGGTTTTCAAGGGTTTTTAATCACAGGACTTGGCAGACAATAATAAGGATGCTACTCGTACGTCATCTAGTAGCTGAAGTTGAATGTGGTACGGGACTGGTGTAAGGGTAATGTAAGAATCGTGTACCTGATTTTTCCTTAAAGAAGTAAAAGTGGACTGTTCTTCTTAGCTCAGCATCATTGAGTCACCTAAAGGAGTAGTTTTACTTCACAATTAGTATTACGTCGGCGAGATTGCGTTTCACAAGTTTGGGTCAATTTTGAGTTACTCTTTTATCAAAGATCGGTTCAACGTTTGGTTCATGACACCTTCAGCTCCACGGCTTCCGAGAGCTCAATCGAAGAGGTGCTAGAGAGTAGCATCTCATGTGAACGAGAGCTGGCTGATCATCTCCACCACGGCAAACTGAACTGGGGCTCTCGCACACTTATAAGCGCCACTGTAAGGCAGCCGTTGCGGATCTATGGGTACCGCCATAGAATAGGCCATGAGAACTTATAGTAGCTCCCATAGGATAGCCCTTGAAGACTTGTGGGTACCCTATAGGATAGGCTATGAGGACCTATGGGTACCCCCATAGGATAGCTCTTGAAGAATTATGGATACTGCTATAGGATAGCCCTTGAGGACCTATGGGTACCCCCATAGAACAGCAGTTAAGAACTTACGGGTACTCTCATAGGATAGCCATTGAGGACCTAAAACTGCCTATTTATGTTCGAAACACTTGAGAATATGATCGAAAAATATTGCTGAAAACTGCTTTCGATTTTGACTTTTCGGGTTTTTTGGGATTTTTGGGATTTTTTTGGATTTTCTCGGGATTCAAATCCAAAATAACCTGCTTTTTCCCCTTGTAGGTAGATAGTTTTTGTTCTTTCTTTTTCATTTTTTCTGATTTTTGTTGTTTTTCTTTGCTCTGTTTTTTTTCAATAAAATACGATAGACTAATGTCCTCTGAAGTCCCAGTTGGTGTGATAACAATCATAACAAGTGACGTGTCTAGGTAACTGGCGATGACAGATTTATTTTTCACTGTGACTCAACCTATTGTCTCTCATTATAAGATTCTGTGCAAAACCTCTGAAGTACGACAAAAATCCCGAAAATCCTGTAAAAATCCATGAAATCTCGTGAAAATCCCGAAATCCCACGAAAATCCCAAAATCTTCTGGAAATCTTCTGGCAATCCGCAAAATCCTAAAAATACGAAAGAAATCCTAAAAATACGGAAAAAATCCTAAAAATACGGAAAAAATCCTGAAAATCCCGAAAATACGCAATCCGCCGTTTCCCCCTTGATCCCAATCCACTCCCACACCCTAGATGGAAGGCCTCTCATGATAATCTTTGAAGAATGAGAAATATAACTCATATTTATCATTCATATCGGTTGAATCTTGTTTGATGATTAAACGCAAAGAAAAGAGAAATAATTAATTTCAATTAATGTTGAAGTTTTTACAATTTGGTTCGATGATCTTACCTATAAAACCTAAGAAGCGGAGGAAAGTTATTTTCATTAACAAATGGGAATATCTATATAGCACCATAAATACGAATAAATGAAACAATAAAAGTGAGAATTAAAATTTGTTTTAGATTTCTAAGAAAACGTATACAATTAAAACGACAATATTTACAAAAAAATCAATTTGATTTTATCGTTTTGATTAACATGGCCACTGCTATTTCATCAACCAATGTTTTTCACACAAAATCTGATGAAATGCATCTCGAAATTTTCTGTCTCGTCTGGCTCGATCCTGGTTCAAGCGCCAAAGATGGCCGTAATACTGAACAACAATTACGTTCTATCATTAATCATCTCAAGAAATTTCAAGATGTATCACAATGTCAAAAGTATATTTATGAACGATCACAAAAAGAACGAGTAGTTATGGTTGTTAGTGGCCAATTGGGACGAGAAATTGTTCCTTCTATTCACAATCTTCGACAGGTTGTATCAATTTATGTCTATTGTTTCGATAAGAAACGTAATGAAAAGTGGGCTTGCGAATATGCAAAAGTAAGATTAAACTAAATGATTTCGATTTTATCTTAACATTTTTATCATTGATAGGTAAGGGCTGTTGTGGTTGAGCTTGATGAGCTCATTTCTCGAATTAAAGCTGATCATAAAATTCAAAAAATGGTCGAAGAGCCATTATCAATTAATATTTTTACTACAGGTGGCGGCGCAGGTAATTCAACAACAGGTTTAAATGGTGAATTTGTCTTTTCACAAGTTCTGATGGATTGTCTTATTCGATTACGATACACTGAAGCAGATAATCAAGAACTTATTCGTCTTTGTGAACAACAATATAAAGGTAATAGTGTTGAATTGAGTAATATTCGTGAATTTCAAGACAAATATTCATCTAACAATGTTTTACGGTGGTACTCGCGAGAATCGTTTTTTTACAAGACTCTTAATGCCGCTCTCCGTACTCCAGCAGATATTCATACAATATTTTTGTTTCGTAAATATATCACTGATATTCAATATCAATTACAAAATCATCAAGCTCAGAATCGTGTTCGGGTTTATCGAAGTCAAATGATATCAACTAATGAACTAGAAATTTTGAAGCAATGCCGTGATCAATTCATATCCGTGAATTCATTTTTTTCAACCAGTATCGATAAACAACTAGCTCTATCATTTCTCAAGTTGTCTGATGATAAAGAAAATTTAGAAGCAGTATTATTTCAAATCGATGCCGATCCTAAGATGGCAATTACAAAACCATTTGCTGATATCACTGAATATAGTGAATATAAAGATGAAGCTGAAGTGCTTTTCATGCTTGGGTCTATTTTTCGATTGGATAGTGTCAATCGAAGCAAACATGGTCAAGTATGGATCATACAAATGACATTGTGCAATGATGATGAACATAATTTAAAGCAAGTTCTTATGGATATGAAAGAGCAGTTTGTGAGTGAAGAAACAAATCTTCAGAAATTAGGAAAAATATTATTAGAGATGGGAAAACCAGATCTGGCACAACACTACTTTATTCGTATGTTAGAACAACTTCCATCCAATGACCCTTTACGTATTGATTTGTATTTGGATCTTGGGACACTTGAGTCGTATGCCGGTCATTTGGACAAGAGTATGGAATGGCGCCAAAAAGCAAGTACACTCAAAAAACAAATTCAATCTACTTCTTCTTCCAGTATTAGTAAATCAAAGAGTCCTATTGGTAAGTTCATCGAAAGATAATCTATTATATTAAAATGGAAGTCCTATATCTATATTTTTATATCATGATGGTCATGATAAATGAATTGAAGATCTTCTTATGCTACAGCTAATAGGTATAAGCTCAGTATAAAAGATGGCCGTGCAGTCCTAACTCGATTTGAATAATAAATTTTTCGATAGTAAAATAAGTGACTGTAAATTTGTCTTTATGAGGAAAAGATGCAGTAAAGTACGCTCTACAAAATGACCATCGATTGACTTCGCTAGCTCGTATAGTAAGAAAGTTATAAGCTTAGCGAACTTTTCAGAACACAACGACGTTTTTATCATTTAAAAAATATTGCTTTACTCGAAAATACTTTCACTAGGATGAATATTACAATCAATGTAATGGCTTTAAAGTGATTTTACAAGTGAGCTGAGTGCTCAAGCTCTATTTGGTCTACTATTTTCTTTTTATAATGTTCTAAAAGGCTCACTGTTAATTTTTATCTTCGTTAGTGTAGTCGATCAGTAGTCATATTGTCGAACATGTTTTCCTGTATCTTTTCCTCATAGAGACATATTCATAATCACTTAGTTTATTGCCGAAAAACTTATTATTCAAATTACATCAGGATTTTTAAGCCATCCTTTATGTACAAAGAATGTTCAAATATTAGCTACAATAGTGCCAATTCTTTTTTCGATCATCCAATTCTGTTAACTTTTTATGAGAAATAATTCCGGCATGGGATTTCCAGGAGTTTCTAGGAATTCCTTCCGAGTCCGAAATTCCAGAAATTGCTTCCAGTTCCGAAATGCTATGCTGGAATTAGATCGAATTCTTGAGAATTCCGAGTAATACGGTCTCGACTCAATTCCCGGAATTCCGGGAATTGACGGAACTCGATCGATATTGAGTAGAGCTCTGATGTTGGATGATGATCGAATTCCGGGAATTGGACGGAAGTGATTTCGAGACGGAACTGGTTTCACAAAGCTCTACATCGCGGAATAGGATGTATTCTCTTGGGTTCCGTTCCTAAGGAATGGGAATCCACTTGAAAATTCGTTTCCATAAGTTTTTGACCATCTTGGTATTTCTAGATGTACTTATTCTTTCAATTTGTATCGAGTCAGTACGGGTGTCCAGATTCCCAGGAACGGGAATCCGAAGCTGACACCCGTAATAAAGATTATATTTACTGAATTCTATAAAATTCCCTTAATTAAAAAAAACAAAAGTACTCTATGTAGCGCACTCTACAAATTGCAACTAGTTAGAACTAAAACTAAAGTATGTTTTATTGAAATTATTATCAGTAATTCTTTTTAATTGAAACGATGAAAATCTAAAGAGTTAAAACTATTTTTTATATTTAGAATGAAAACTTTAAAAAATGCGAAAGAATTAAAATTAATATTACAATTAATAGCTTTTGAATTGTTATTTAATATTCGCGAATGAGAAGACTCGGCCGAAAACACGTTGTTATATGTTAATAACTCGTGATTAGCTAAACTTTTTAACACTAGAATTATATAGATTATTGAACTTTAGTTAAAGATTCTGATGCACTAATGGAAATTAAAATTACAAAACTTTTACATTACATAATGTTTTGTGTTTAAGGAAGCTGACGGGTGGCCCTGAAAAAATTTGGCAGAAAAACTGGTATTCAAGGTTCTATTTCAGTTTCATTTCCTCTTTTAAACGGTAAAAACTGCAGATCTCTATCCAGTTCCTATCAAAAATTATTCCAAAAATACTTACCCTTCTTTTATTTTGCAAAGAGTATTAGTTTCGTTTATATATATCATAAAAATCGAGACTTTTTTTTTTGATTTTACTTTTTTTCTATTTTTCAAATATATCAACCAGAACAAACGCATCTTTGTTAAGACGGAATATTATTTTGTAAAAAAGATACTAAAATAATTTTATTAAATTTCTGGATGTTTTTATCTTAATCATGAAACAAAAGTTGCGTTAAAGGGTGTGGTTGTAGATAACTGCGAAGCTGATTGACATTCTCAGTCACACATATTTTCAAGGTAGACGCACCAGACCTTATCTTGACCTGGCTACACGCTTACTCAGCAATGATCATACCTCCTCATACAAGGAAAGAGACATGACAAGATGAAGAAAATAAAAACGAAATATCGCAGGAGAGCTTTTGTTATTGTAAAGGACTATTATTTGGATTCTTTCTACTTTTCATGACTGTTGTCAAACTTTGATCTCTTTCTGTCTCTTGCTATCATAAACTTTTCACTGGTTGTTGAAAGTTCGACAGATCTATACATGCAGATTGCAGTCGACTATACCATATAGAATGATATATTTATTATATTTTTTCGGAAAATCAGGTATGTGTCATACATTGTACATATTTGGATTCCTATTTCTCTGTGACAAACAGAGAAACTGGTTCAGAAGCTGAAGAAATCAACGAATCAAATCAAGAATATGTTAAACACTATGCAGTGTTGTGACTGTACGCAAAATGATATTTCGAATTTTACTTAGTTGTGAACTAGAACTGAGTATAGAGAAGTTAGGACAAAAGAATAATAGGAGCCAAAATCTTGTTTACTTAATGTTTATCAGGAACTCGACAGTGGCACATTATTCGTTTCTCAGGTATATCTGGGCTAGCGTACAGAAAAGCAGAAGCGACACATAGTGTTTGAGTGATCGAATGACTGCAGTTTTTCTCGTCACTGATGATTCCAAAAATAGTTCGTACATATGTACCTATTGTAAGTGTGAGTCTAGACTTGTCTCGAAATACCTAAGAAATGAATAGTATTTGATAGAAACAAAACTTGCTTTTTTTCCTGTATATGTAACCCTTGAATTAATGCTCATTCGATGGAGATGAATTCTCTTCGGGATAGTGAAGCGACAAAATTCAGCTCTTGTATGATGCTGACGACAGCCAGCGGCAGAATTCATCAACTTGATAGTAACATAAGCTGCCTTCTTTAAATACAATCGAGAAAAGAAGGAGCATTCCGATAACAGATAGCATTAGTTGATTTCAAACTCATTAAAATGCTAGAACTAACCAAATATGTTTTAGTGCTTCTGTCTTCTTGACCAGCGATAGATTGAACATTGCATAGTTCCCGAACAGAACCAACGATTTTCATATAATCAGTATGAATTCATACAGATGATGATCATATCGTTTGTCTTCTTTTAGATGCATCAAAGCAACCAGAACCAAAACTCGTTTCATCTGTACCCAAGTCCAAACCAAAAGTCGAACCTACACCAAAATTAGGTATGTTGCATTTAACATCGAACAATTTACATGTTAAAGAAGTAATTCGATTGGTCCTCCATCGTTCATTCACTGCTACACGAAGGAGCATCTGTCACAATAGTTATTAATATTATGAAGAACATACTTTGTTCCCATATTTCAGGAATTTAGTACTGTGTCAAGTATCAGGTGATACGCACTGACTCTCAAAGTTTTACATATTTGAGATTGGGTATAGGGATGCTGCTGAAAGAGAAGAAGAACATTTAAAGTAACAAGCATATCCATAATCGTATACATACTCTTACGAGTAATTGAAATTTGTCTCCAACAACAGAACCTATAGATCTTTTCGCTATACGAACATTATTTATTGCCCTATAGTTCGTCAAGATCCATCAGATCTTCGAAATCTTTTAGTTTCTTTAGTTTCTACGATAGCTTGCATCTTTTGAAACTGTTGAATTCTTCAAACTTTTTGAACATGTACAAGTACACACCAACATTAGCAATTAGCCCTTAAAGTATTTCTGATTAAAGTAAAAGATTTGCTATGTGTAAAATAACTGCGTAGTTATACCTGTCGGTTATAATAAAACGAGTATACTTTCAATAGATAAAATTTCTGTTCTCTAGATTGTTCAAGTAACATATCTATTAAAATGCACTGAACCTTGCTAAAAAGAATAGCAAATTAAAACTTAAGATCAATATCAAACGTATTTTATAAGCAATCCATAGAATTATTTTGTTTTAATCAAAATATCCATAAATAGCTATTTAAATATTATGTATATATCTTCCATTTCACCAGATATTGACAGTAAGAAGAAAAGAATTTTAATGATTATGTTCAGTTATATCTATAGACATGATATAGGCGAATTGAGATCAAAAATATCTATCAAAAAGTGCATGTTTTCAAATAATAATACTGCCGTCAATAATGAAAATTCAACGAAAATTTTTTTGTAGAACTCACGTATATTTTCCAAGAAAAATAGTGAGTGTAAGTTTTAAGTTTACAATCTCGGCTTCTCAGCCCCTCTTCTCATTACAGACAGTTACAACTAGTTTTATAACCCTTGGATATTCAAATTGATGTGAAATCTGTGAGCCCTATCTTCAGTCTCGAAGAAGCTGCGCTAATAAACTTTGTTCGTCAGAACTTATTTTGTTTACTTTAGAGTCATTCCAGTCTTATATATGATTGACTAATTTATAAAACAATTCTAGAAAATACAAGATTCTTTGAAATGAAATTCTTGAACTCAGAGATAGAATCAACGCTAACTATGTTATTTTTATATCTAATAAACAGTACGAAATAAGTAAAATAATATTTTTAACAATGCTGATCTCTACCATATGTGTAGTAGTTTATTCTTGGTTGAAACAATAAATTTAAGAGACTACTGATTACTACGCTACCGTTCTTCATAAATACTGATGGCTGAGATGATGTTAGTTTCGCGTAGTTATGTTCCGAAAAAAAATGAACGGATTCAAAAGCAAAAGGACAATGAATCGTATTTAGGTGGCTATACAGCATATGAATCAAAATATAATCGATCGTATTGTGAGATCATTCAATGTATCGAAAAGGAATTCGATTTAAACATGATTATAAGAATATCTATGTTGAACTAAATCTAGCAAAAATATTTGATGTAGTTGAAGAAATTCGATGCGATTTAAACAAAATACATCATATATTATTCGTATTGTATACGTGTTAGCGGTGATTCACCATCATCCTTC